AGAAGTTGTGTGAACTGTGAAAAAATTTCTCTAGCAAAACTACAAGGAATAATTAGCTTTCCCCTACTTGGTTTTGCTTGAAGAAGGTTGAGGGACAGCTCCTGAAGTGGAGAACACTATCTTGTAGATGATCTAACTTCTGTTCCCTTGGCCTTGTTTGATTTCCTTCATCCCTGTTGGCTGCTTCTAATTCCACCTTTAATGTAACTAAGTATGGGTTGTATGCAGTTATTACTAGTTTACTTCATGTCCCAGGTAACTGATGTAAGGTCACGAGACTCAGTTTGTGAAGCAGAATGTTCTTAGTTCTATATAAGTAATTGCAGGGCTAGAGTGTAGTTAAGTACTTTTCTTTTTCTTAGCTTTTTGTCTTAATGTACCCTTTGTTGGAATCTGTGGCTCTGTGAAAGCATGCTGCTTCTGTGAATGGCTCCTGAGAAGCTAAAGCAGCTCTTTTTCTTCACTTGTGCAGCAGGTGGCAATGCTTCTTCCAAAATGCCTGGATGTCAGTTCTCATGCTTTAATAATTAGAATTCTGCAAACTAAAGCAGATTCTGGAGTTGTGTTTACAGTGAGTCTAACTGTGTTAACCAGAATGCTACCTTCAGTAACTAAGTATCTATAACCTGTACCTCTTATACATTCTGGATCTAAATAATTCCACCACAATCTCCACTGTTCTGACTGCTATATATATATTAGATATCTATTAAACCAAGGGGGTATTTCACATTTTTGTTTGTTTTTCTTTTGAATATGAAGAAGCTCTACGAGCCTGTGGTAAAACCAGCCGACATAAGACCTCAGCCTTCTCAAGGTAAAGATTTTGTGGGGAGAGCAGCTGTACTGAGGGAACTTTGCCTCACTTACTGGCTAACTGTAAATGTTTTAAAAGTTTTCTGTCTTTAAGCTTGTTTAAAGCTGGCTGTTTATAAATGAACTAAAAAGCTAGAAGTTTGTCATAAGTGAATGTATTTGGTGCCTGGGTTTTACTGTGTCCATTTCTCTTGTTCTGAGTGCTGTCTGCAGTTTGGTGCTGTACTAGAAGGCAAAAAGCTGGCAAAGGCCTCTGTGTGTGTGTGTTGGGGAGAAATTGTCACACAGCTACCTCCAGGAGGCTTCCTTTCTTCTTTCCTTCATCACTGGTGGAGGCCAGGTGGGGAACTGGATGGATCACTGACATTAAACTTAGTCTATTCTTGTGTTCCTTTTGCACGGCTACTAGAAATGCTTCAACCTCTCTTCCTAATCAGTCAGTTCCTTCAGGGAATTGAAAGCTCTAGTGTAGGACTCAGTGGTGGCAGTGTTGACTCTCTGAACTTGCCAAGTAGGACACAGATTTCATCCTGCCTGTGTCACTTGTGAGGGGTGATGAAGGAACAGAACTGCAAACAACGTTGTAAGTGTGCTGCATGCTTTGGAAAAATGCCTTGTACAGACTCCTTGGAGCAAGGTGGTGGATTTTGGAGTGGATGATTTGGTATCCTTCTTTGAGGCTGGCCTTAATAAATGAGAAGTTTTGTGTTGCCTGTTGTTAAGTATTGAAAAATGACAGAATTCAGCTGTGCATTTCTAATTTGAAAAGTGAGAACCCTCACTATGAATTACTGCACATGATGTAACAAGCAGTGGTGCTCAGAGTTTGAGGAGCTGAGTTGAATCTTCCAGTTCTCACCCTGCTGATCTGACTTCTAAGATCTTTGTAGATGGGAGATATGGCTTCCAGCAGTGCCAGCTTGTGCAGCAAAACAGCCAGTAGGAGCAGTGCAGTGGTCACTTTATATCTGAGTTCCCTTTGGTTTCTAGTGTCCAAATTCAGGGTTTTCTGATGTCAGGCAATTACTTGCAAGTTAGTAGCAGCTTGCACTATGATATTGTGGTTTTGGGTTTGGTAACAGTAAAGTTGTAGCAAAGGTACTGTGGAATTTATGGAGAATTTTGGTATTATGTAGTCTTTGGGAAGTTTATGTATCCCAGTTTAGCAAGAACAGCGGCCAGAAACCAAAAATGTTTAGATTACTCAATACCTTTCATTTCCTTGTTTCAATTCCCTATGTTTTGGAAAGCCTTGAACTCTGAGGAATATAATGCAATCTATGTCAAGCCAAACTCTTTCAGGCAAATTTCATTTAACTGTGTGTCAGTCTTTCTGTGCAATAATCCAAATTATTATTTCTTCTTTTACTTCATCCTTATCATTTCATAAGGTCACCAATCTCCTTATCCCAATGCTTTATTGTAAGAATGCTTCATTGTAGATATATCCTTTTAGAGAATGCCCTTCCATAGGGCTTTAAGATGAGTTTAAAGAGGTTGCTTCTGGACTGTTCCTTCTTCCAAAGTGGATGATGGTGCATTTTAGTGTCCATGTTCATGTAGGGATCAGATCAAACCAGCTCTGACCAGCACATTGGACACATGGACAGTTCAACAAGCACCATCCCTTGGTGGTTACCATGTTTCAGCAGGGAATCACTGTAACCCTAAGCCACAATGCAGTGTCTGACTTCAGAATACCTTCAGCAGCACTAATAAGATTGACTTCAAAACATATTGCTGTGTGTAACCCTGACAGGGCTCAGGGGTGTGTGCACCACCTGACACTGTGTCCTACTGCAGGCACTGCAGAAAACTAATAGTAGTGGAGGTGAGGCTCCTTACTTCCCAGAAGCATGCTAGTCTGCTCATTTTAAGTTTTGTGCATGGAAAACATGCAAAACAGTTTCATAATAGGCTAGAGTTTAACTTTTGAATACAGAATTAAAGTATTGGTGATCTTATCATATTACTATTACAGTCGAATATATGCTGTATTCCCCCTGGGTGTTCTGCACCTGCTACCTGCTTCAGTGTTCCTGAAAGCTGGGGGTTTTTTTTATTTCCTTATTAGCACAGCAGAATTAATGCAGTTAACCTTATTTATGCTTGATTCTTTTTGGTGTTAATGCTTGGTAAGTTAAGCCAGAAGAAAAAAAAATAGCCTTTATTGTAAAAACCGACTTGTTGGAGACATAGGATGATTTATTTGCCCTCCTTAAAATGGGTTTTCTAAATCTCATGTTCTCTACAGTGATGTCTATTCTCTGTGTTCTGTGTGGGTTTTATCAGATGTAATATGAGGTTAAAAGTTTTGAAAACAAATCTTTCTGTGTAATTATTTCTTTACAACTGTTCTCTTATTTCAAATAGTGGCTTTGTGTTTTCTAGGTAAGAACTTTGGGGCTTTCTGTAGTTGAGACTGCTAGCCTCTACTGCAATTTGAGTGATAAAGAATAATACTAGTAAGATAAACCATGTCAGCTGTCATCCTCGGTGTTACAGCAAAATGGATGTGCTGCAGGTTTAGGTTTTATACAGGGACTTTCTGGTTTTCTGTCAGTTTTCTGATAGTGAATAATGGGGGAAAGAGTTTCAGAAGCTGATTTGGGCTGTGTTTGTCTGTAGATGCTTCCATCACAGATCTGAAGCAGGCGACAGAAGCGGCATCCAAACAGATCAGCAAAGCAATGCAGGTGAGACCTCCGTGTGCTCCAAGAGAAATATGTTTTTATCTTCTTGATCAGGTAATATGTCACAAAACAGGAGTTCTAACTCATCTTCCTTATACTTTGGTAGAAGAGAAGCCTCTGTGTGTACTTAGGAACTAGGTGAAGCATTGTGTTTGTAAAGCATTCCCCCTCATGAGCTAGTAATGGAGATTACCCAGGAAATACTTCTGCTGAGATTTTGGAACATGCAGTGTCTGAAAAACAGAACATCTTTTGAAGACTTGTATGACTTCATCTGGAGTTTGACATTTTGTTACCTCAGAACCTGCTTAGGCCTCAGCTGTGGTGTTCCTGTGATACTGCCTGAGCTTAGAGATGTCATGAGGCAGCACTTCAACTTGGCACACTCTGCATGGTTTCTGTGTGCAGACACTTCACTACTGGGGTGATAGCTCTGCGTTCACAACCCTCACCTGCCATCCTGAGCATCACCTCTGCAGACAGTGAAGCTTTTGTGCCTGTCAGAATCTCATTAGCATATTGTATGCCTTATATCCATTGCTTTTCTCATGTAACCTGAGATACTTGGGTTTGTTTTTGCAGTCTCTTCCAGCACTCATAGAAAAAGCAGAAGGTTTTTCCCAAGTATTGACTTTGCAACCAACCTTGGAACTCTGCAAGCTGCGGCAAGAAGTCTTTTCTGGTTGCAAGGCGAAGGAGGAAAACAATGTCCAAAATTTAGTACCACCAGGAGAAGTCACACCAACAGGAACTGTTTCCAGTAAAAATCCTTATGTTTTGCTGAAAAGAAGAAAAGCTGCAGATTCCCCCGAGAGAAGGCGCTACCCACTGCGGCGGAGGAAAATCACTCTCAGTGCATGAATTTTTCATTTTGTGTTTTCATATTGCAATCTCAGTTGTACTTTTGTTCCATCTTTTTTCTTAGAACTCATCTCCCCACAGTACTATACATGGGATCTTCTTTAATTAGTCTTTGGCCTCTTAAATATTTCTACTTTTACTATCATACTGATGATATATGAAAGCCTATACATACCAGCAGCATACAATATCCAGCAAGTGTATTTGCCATTTAACTCATTTTTTGCTCTTATATTGCAGTTTTTAGCTTGAGTCCTTGTGCTTCTCAGCGTTTGTGTGCATGCTTTATGTATGTGGGCAGTCTTTTTGGAAACCACTAACTGCTCATTTACATTCAGTATGTCTCTAAAGAGATTGGAGAATGTTTAGTTCTCCTAATGCACCTTCATTAATTACTGACATATGTGGCTTGTATGTTAATTAATTAATTGACACTGCAGCTTATTGAAATCACCAAATTGATGCAATGCTGGAATTTTAAGGAAGTACACGCACACGTGACATTAGTCCTTGCTATTCTACCTTTCCTGAATGTAGGTCATCTAGGCTTATTTATAGTCATGTTTGTTGAAACTTGGATTTTTAATAATTGTATATATTTACTTGCAGTGTGCTCTTCTGAACAGGAGTTCAACCATCAACATCTTAGGGTCTGATATATCATTTCATGTAATCCAATTACACAGCTTGGGGTTTCCTGAGCAATATTTCTACCCAAGAAAGGATCTTGACTTGGGTTAGTTTGCATTTGTATTGTTTGACTAAACTTTAAAGATCAGTAGAGGCTAGCAGTAAATGCTATTCACTTGAGCTAGCTTACTTCTGTTTTTTTTTACTCATTAGTACCTAGAAGATTGCAAATTAGTACTAAATTGAGCACTGTGCCTTAACCATTTATAACTTTTTCTAGTTTATGGTTGCATGTGCCTGCAGTAAATACCCCTGTCTAGTATGTAACATATTTGTTACAGTAAGTGGAGGGGGGTTTTAGAAGCATTATTAATGACATGTTTGGTGCTAAGAAGACAGGTCCAACCTAATGTCTAAGAGACTGAATTCTCAAGAAAAGAGATCTTAGCATCATTTATTTTGTAAAAGTGAGCATCTGTACTGAGACTTTGTATATGTAATCATATGTAAATATTTTTCCTGACCTTGTATATAGAAATGTGTGTTTTTATATGAAGTAAATTAAATCAATTAAGGAAGATCAAAGCTCCAGATAATATTGTCAGTTCTAATTCTGGAATAGTTGGTGGCTGAGCAGTGAGCGTACTTCAGAGGACATCTGTGTTAAATTCTGGCTTGAGTAACTGAAGTAGTTCCATTTACTGCCTTTGAACTCACAAGTGTTATTAATCTCAGGGCTACAAAGCTTCTCGTGTAAGAGAGGACAGGATGTGAGAGGGACTGGAGCTGCAGGGCTGTGGAACTTGTGGCTCAGATGGCTTCTCACACAGCCACTTGCTATTTTGAGTGCCCGTGCTGTGTGTGGCGTTGAAAATCCCTGATACGGCTTTCTTCATACAGATCCTGGGTGTTGCTACGTTAAGGTGAGCGCTGCAAGATTTTGCATGGCAACTATTACAGTATTTGGCCATTTCCTCTGCTAATAGGAAGATTCTCTGCAAATGACAGGCAAGTACAGAAAATAGAGGTATCTCTTTGAAGAATTTCTGTCAGAAATAGCTGGGGTAGGACAAATGCCCTAAGAAATAAAAAGGGAAAGCACTGTGGTTTAAGACTTAATAAATAAATTCATAGGTTCACGCTACAGTGCATGTTTTTGTTTAGAGGCTAAGGGATAGTTGGTCTGCACAGGATTTCAAGTAAGTGAGAATAGATGCCCTCAGAGCAGTGGGTCTTCTGTTCCATAGCCTGTGTTGCAACTGCAGCTGGGTGGAAGAAGAGAAATGCATGTGGAAATGCTGGCCAAGTGGACTGTGTAAAGAAAAAGATAAAGCGATCAGGATTCCAAGTGCAGTGTATAAACTAGGAAGTTAAAAATCTGATGGCTAATTTTGGCCAAGCAGCATTGGAAAGAGAACCTCCCTTTAAATGCAAGTTCTATGATGAGCTAAACTCAACATGAATGTTCAGCAGTTTTTCCAATGGTTATTTAAAAATTCTACAGCCAGTGATGCCTGCAACTAGCTGTCCCTCCCATTGGCAGAAATATATAAAACACTTCATTTTTCCCCACTGCAGTAGCCTTTTGTCCTTCAGTTAACTTTTCATAGGAATTGGAAGTGTTGTGCAAGACATGTCTAATCAGACTTCTACTGAAATGGCACAAGAGCCAAGTTTCTTATTTTTAACTTGGGGTGAATTGGTATTGCATCAAGAAATGTCTGGTAGTTTTTCTTTATATAGCCTTTGAATTTTGTAAGACAGCTCAATGGTGATGTATGCTTGGGTTCATTTGCAAACTGAGTTTGAATTTCTTGGCTTTTGGGGGCAAGACAGAACATCTCACTGTTAGTGTGTCCTGTCTGCAATGTGCTTTTTGCTCACGAGGCTAGGCCATCCCTAGCCAAGAAAAACATGCAAATTGGAGCAGTATCTACGCATGGTTTTGCTGTGTTTACTTTCTGAACGAAGGGGATTACAAACTGTAAAGGGGAAGCTCCTCTTCCAGAAATCTTCACATGGACACTGACATCTGTTTGGAAGCCTGGATGCTCTGAGACCCAGTTCTGACATGTACCATTCTCCAGAAGAGCCGTGCTGTGCTAAGCTGTGATCAGAAACTAGTCTGCATGTGTGTAGGCTGCTTCAGTGCAGACAAAAATCACTGATAAACTGCCATTATAAAATTCAGCTCAGCTGACTAGGCTGCTTTCTGGGCTGGTTTTCTCTCCTGCACAGAAACGCTCTGCCTTCGCTGCTGCACTACCTGGAATTACTGTGTAGGCATTTCTACAGATGTACCAGAGATAGCTTTAATACTAAGTAGAAACTTGTTCCTACAAGCAAATTTTGACTTGTCATTTCCTTTGTCATTTGTTCTGAACAAGAACAGACTATTCAGGCTCAAGGGGACTGTCCCCTAGCTTGTCCCATGCTTGTGTTATCCTGGAAACCTTATTCTGCAGCTGCTTGGAATTACTCAGTGAAGTGGATATTTATTCAGGACTAATAAATTCTTGGTGACCTGCTCATGATTTGAAGCTGTCAGGTAGCTGGTGCAGGTGCCATTTGCAGCAGCATTGCTCCTAGAGCATGGAGTTCAAAGTCCCTCTGTGGAAGGGGACTTTCTTTCCCACAGATCACTCCAGAGGGCTGTTGAGGTGTTTTATCCACATGATTCACGGCAAGAGAATATACCTGTTCCCTGAGCTTGTGAAAATACTGGATTCTAGTCCTGTTTATTTCAACTGAGCTTAAGCTACAAAGGCAGCAAGATCCCAGTGCTCTCTTTTTAAGCAACTGTCCTGCTCATGTCCTCATGTACTGCTTTCCTTTAACTGCATGAGGTGTAGTTAATGCAAGATTAGGCTGTTTCAAAGGAGCAGTTGAGAGCAATTCATTCTCTGACAGCTTTCTGCCTGGTGGTCAGGGCTGCTTTCCAGGAGGTGTTGGTTTGGATCCCCTCAGCTGGAGAATGGCACTGAACCCACACCTTACTGCTGCCTCCATGAGCAGCCCTCAGTGAACATCTTGCTCTTGGCACATTAGATGACAAAGAGAGAAAGAAGCAAGCCTGGTTTTGAAGAAACCAGGGAATGCCCTGTGAGATGCTTGGGAGACCCAGCACAGTCTGGGGCTGTAGGTTAGGTCAGGGTATATTGGCAAGACCGTGCTTCCAGCTGTGGTCACCAGCCACCTTCCCATGGTTGATAGGGTGGGAAGACTCACAGGGACTCAGTCCTCCAGGGTTGGAGAAGATATTTGAAAAGTGCAAAATCAAATAAATGCATGGATAGCTTGGAGGGTGGAGACAGAAGCTGCTTTGAGGTGGAAGAGCTGGGAAGAAGCACTTCAAGGAAGTCATGCTCAAGTCTTTTAGTCACAGTCCCAGATCCTGCCAGGAAACCTGTGCCACGGCACAGACGTAATTTTGACTCTTGGACTCTGGGGAACATGGTTCCCTCACCTTTAGCATGAACTGTTGGCCAGATCTTCCTGGAAGGATAGTCTGTATTTACTCAGTTTGTCAACTCTTTAACTTCATCTAAACTGGATGACTCAAACTGCTGAGGAAACCAGAAAAATAGGGAAGTATCTGATTTATTGAGATACCTGGGGCTTTATGACTGACTGCCCTGCAGTTTGGAGGCACGTACCCTCCTCACATGGTCATGTGTTCACTTCTGTGAGTTGAGCGCAGCCAGGAGGGTACAAGAGTTACAAATCCTTTTGCAGGAGTGCAAGGATGTTGAAGTAGCTGTCAGTGCAAACACCCCTTTTCAGAGCATAAGGCCAAGGTAACTGTGCAATTAAAATGCAAGGAAGGTGTTCCGAGATGTAAAAGAAACAGTGTTCTGTTAAAATACTCTCAACAGAATAGTGGAAGAGAAAGATTTTTGTCTGCAGCAACTGTATTTCCAACAGTCTTTGTCTGGCTTTGCCTTTACAAGAAGTCTGTCGCATTTCCTTATTATTTAAAGGAACAGGGTGAATAGCGAAAGTGAAAATCGCTTTATCCCAGCACGGATGCCGTGTCCTCACACCCACGATCCCGGGCTGAGCTGGCTGTCCCGCGTGTGGAGCTGCCGCCGCTTCAGAGAGCCGATGTCAGAGGAGCGCGGCGGGCAGGAGCGGCCGGAGGTGAGCGGCGGGAGACGCACGGGGACGAGCCCGGTTCCCGGGGGCAGCCTGGAGAGGAGAGAAACCGCGGGGAGTTCATTTCTGCAGGCGAAAGAGCGAGTCGGGCCTCCCGGAGGGGCGTCGAACCCAGCCGACCCCGGGGCTGGGGCTCTCCGGGGGGATTTTCAGGCAGCTCCTGCCCGGCAGCGCCGTGCCCCGGACTTTCCCCGGGCTCCCGGCGGCTGACGAGAGCCGGCGGTGCCGGGGGGCGGTCCCCGCGGGGGAGCGGTGCGGGATGGGGCGGCCGGGTGGTCCCGGGCTCCCGGTGCGGCGGGCGCCATGTGACGGCCATGTGGGCGGCGGCTCCGCCCGGGCCGCTCCGGCACCTGGCGGCGGCACCCCCGGCCCGGGGCGGCGCGTCCCTGCCCGGCCCGCCCCGGCCCGCCCTGCCCCGCACTCCTTCCCTGCGCTGCCCTGCAGCCGCACCCCCGCGGGCCGGGGGAGCCCTGCGGGCGGCTCGGCGGCGCCGGGATGTCGTGCGCCGTGCCCGCGGCGGCGGCCAGCGCGCTGTCCCGGGGCGCGGCGGCCGAGGGCGGCCAGCAGGTAGGGACCGGGCGGGGATGGGCTGCGGGCGGGCGGGCGCATGGGGCTGAGTCACGCCGGGCAGCGCCGCGGAGGGGATGCTCGCTGCCCCTGGGCATCGGCCCTTCTTTTCCCGGGAGGCGGCCGCCGTGCTGGCTCTTCCCAGGCGGGAGCGCGGGCGGTGCGCGGAAAGCGCCGGGGCCCGGCGCGGGCAGCGGCTTTTCCCCAGCCGCGGGCAGCCGGGAAGGGAGCAGGGCTTTCCTCCGCGCTGCTCGCACCTCCGCCCCGTCGGCCGCGCTGGAGCGAGGCAGGTGTAAAGTGCTGCCCGCCGGGCAGAGCGGGAGCGCCGGTGCCCGCTCGGGTACCCAGCTTCCCCCATCAGTAGCGGTGCCCCTGCCCGCGGGGCTCTGCGGCATCCCCCGGGCAGCCTGCCGGCTTCCATCCCTCTGCTTCGGGTCGGGTCTGCTTCTGCAGTGGGGCAGAGGGATGCCCTACTCTTTGCAGGGACCGTGAGGTCTCTGGGAGACCGAGGATCGGCGCTGTAAAATTGGAAGTGTTCGTTCTCAGAAAGTTACACACCCGACCTCGGGCATCCTCTGTGTGCACCTTGCAAACTAGCGAAGTGTTTTTGGTTGATGTATTCCAGAGTCGTGAAGAAGATGACAGAAAAGTAAGGAGGAGAGAAAAAAATCGAGTTGCTGCACAGAGGAGCCGGAAGAAGCAAACTCAGAAAGCAGATAAACTTCACGAGGTGAATGGATACTTTGTGCTTTGCAGGCATGGCTTGGGTACCAAGCACAGGATTTTACAATGAATGGGAATACTTAAGCAGGAGTGGGCCTCTCTTCACATAATCCTGCTCAGAGAGCTGTGGGATGCCTAGTTGGGAACTCTCAGACTCTGTTGCTGCTCTTGGACAGTGCAGCTCTGCCTTCAGTGACACTGCTAGGAAGAGAGAGACATGGTCCAGCCCTTGCCTCATCCTCCCTCTTTTGCTCTTTCTCTGACCACCCAAAGAATGAGATCACAGGGCTCCTTTGGGCTAAACCAGAACCATTTTCTTCTCTATTAGTGTTAAGCTTATCACACTTGCTGTGACAGTGGATGAATTCTTGCTGTCTTACAAGGTAGAAGGTGATGGAAGAGGCGGGGACCATGCAGTAGCAATGCTGGCTTAAATGAGTTCTAGAGTTGTGGTGTGAGCGCTGCCACTCAGCAGTGGGGTTCCCAGGCATACCCAGCTGAAAAGGCTTCTTAGGAACTTGGGAACCTGCAAGTGTGAGAGCTCACCTTGGCTAGCTGTTACACTTGCATGCTTTGAAAAGTGACAGTGGGTGCTCAGACAGATAAAATGAAAGTAACTGATTCTTCCAGAAGCTCTTAATATCACAATGTGGTATATTTTCCTTGTGTCCCCAGTGCAAACACTGGAGGACAGGGATCCTTTCTCTCTGGTTTTGGATGTTACCTCACACCACAGTGCTCTTTTAGCCAGGAGTCAGCTTTTGGGGTGAGTGTCAGTTTTGCAGCACACTGCCACTGTGGCTGAGTCAGTTGCTCAGCTCTGAAGGTTTATCACAGGCTTTTTTCTTTCTCACTGTGGAAGGATCTGCCAGCAGTTAGCAGAGACTAAGAGGGACAATGTGGGGAGTTTTGGGCTTGGTTTTTCCCAGATCTCCTCTGAGTCAGCGCCTGAGAAAGCCAGGTGCAGGGTAGTTCTGAAAAGGGGTAACCCCATCTTTTGTGGAATCATTTTTGGGCCCTGTGCCATCCTGATGTTTCTCCTGAACTTGAGGATCTTCATTTTGAGGCTCACAGGTTTTGCCAGGTTTCAACCAGGCAGATCTGGTTGGATAGACATTCATTCTTAGCAACAGCAATGTGGCAGTCTCACCCCTGAAAATGGGACAGAGCAATGGGACAGCAACATTTATTCCAAAACCCAGGACCATGGGGTTTGGGGCAACAAGAGATGAGCAGAATGACAATTGGGGTTGGACAACTTGTCTGGAGTTTGGCTGCAATACTGTGTTAGGATGACTGTGCCTGTTTCACTCTGTGAGAGGTGGCACAAGGGTGTGAGGGAGGGCAAGGAGCCCAAAGTTCTGCAGCAAAGGGGAGCAGAGGCAGTGCCAGGCTGCCCAGAAGAACATTGCATGAGAGGCTCTCCCTGCTGCTCTTTAAGGCACGTGTAAGCTTTGAAGTTTGCTCTGAAGCTTTCCCAGGGAGGTGAGATTGAGTGGGTGGATGCTGAGCCTTGGGCCAGCAGCGAGACATCCATCTGCAGGTTTTCAGTGGGCTGGCTCTGAACCTCTAGCTCTCTTCTCTTCAGGATGGGGAGGCTTAGAGGCAGGGATACTTGAGTCACACAGTTATCAAAAAATGTGACACAGGAGTCTTGCATCCATCACATGTATGCTGCAGAGCAACTCAAAACTCCCCTGCAGTTAACAGTGGCTTATTTATTGCCAGAGAAGCCTTAGCTCAAAAGCAGCCAGGTCAGGGATAACCAAAGGCAGTGGTCTGGCCTGCTGGTGACAAAATGAGTCTGGCCTCAAGCTGACATGATGCTTCCCTCCTCCTGAGTTCTTTGGCTTCTGAGCAGGTGGCTACAAGCCCTGGCAGGCCTGGAGGAGAGCACTGGACGTGCTGTGCTAGCCTGGATAAATGGCTTTTCCCTGTGCCCTTCTCTCACCAGCAGTGCCAGGCACTGGGTTTTCCCAGCACCTCTTGGCACTCAGTGCTTTCATTTTCTCTGATCTCACTGTGCAGAGTCCATCTTGGCCCTTCCCATCAGAGGCAGCCCAGGGTGGAAGAGGCCCCATGAGGACACAGCCATCCATGCCTGCAGCCCTGGGCTCCTAGAGGACTCTGAGGTGCTCATGGCACCTCCTGGCCTTCAGGGCCATGAAAGGAATTGCAGTGTGGTCAAGGCACAGGTTGTAAAGCACTTGCCCTGTTCCAGCACCCAGGCTGGGTCTGTCTTTCCTCAGCACTTTTAAAGTTATAGTAAGAAACCACAGTGTTTTTCTACTGTTATGTGAATGTACTCAAGGTGGAAGCACTGAAAGGAATGTTTTGACTGTAAGTTGTTGTTTTTTTTCTTTCCCCTCCTTCCAGGAATATGAGTCTCTTGAGCAAGAAAATACCTCCCTGAAAAGAGAAATCGGAAAGCTAACAGATGAAATGAAACACTTGAGTGAAGTGTTGAAGGATCATGAAAAGATCTGTCCACTATTGCACTGCACCATGAACTTTGTAACCATACCAAGGCCTGATGCACTTGCCAGCTGCCTACCAAGATGAGTGCTCTCCTTAATCACCTCTCAATGTGATGTGTGAAAATGCCATTAACAGGTATGAAGAACTGCCTAGTGTGTAGTTCTTCCAACAAAGAGGGCTGGACTCGACCACAGCTCTACTCCACATTGAAATGTTACAGTCTTCTGAATCTCAGGAAAACACCAGTATGGAAAAAAAGACAATTTGAACAGCAGCTTCTAACTTGGTAGACTCTTCAAGCCATGTTTTTGCCTTTGAAAATGTCAAAGTGCCGTGCAGCCCACTATGGAGTGATGGAGGGGAAAAGTATGGACAGGGACGGGGAAAAGTACCAACCTCAGACTGGGATGCCTTTCTCCCACACATCCACTGCCAGTAACCCTTTGTCACTTGTCACCTATGCATGTCATGATCTGGCTGCTGGGTTTTATCTCTCTAAACAGGTTTGGTTAATAAAAGCAATGTCTCATCTCTATAATGTTCTCCACCTTCTTTAATAATCCATGTCTTTATAGCATCTCTGCTTTCCATTTGCTGGTCAATCCCAAAGTCTAGTGTTAATCTTCATGTTAGTTGTTCTATTATTTACTTATCACCTCTTCATTGGTTCCTCTTTTGAAGTGTGTGTAGCAAAAGAATTTTCTTAGTCTTTAATATTCCAAATCATCAGCCCTGCTGGCATTAGTCCTTGGAGTGTTTTATATCCTAAAATATGGCTTGCTCAGTTTCTGATAATGATTGTCTGTTCTGTGTGGAAGAAAAGCAAACAAAGTTTGATGGCTTTAAACACTGTTTTAAAAAGCAGATTTTAAAATTTACTCTTTTAATGCACCTACTGGAAATGAACAAGTATCTTCATCCTTTCTTCATCTTGCGTATTGCCTCTGGAAGATTATGGCTGTGGATTGAGTTTTGCTAAGCATTTTGTTCTATGTCCACACTGAAGGTGTTTGATAATTGCTTGAAAGAAAAACACTCAGTTTTCTTTTTCTTTTTAGTTACAAAAAGGAACTATGATTGCAATGTTATTGAGAAATACACAGAAAAATGTGTTTACTTTCCCTGAAGATTCCTAATAGTGTCAACCTCTTGAAATGTGGATGCTGTAGCTTGGGATCCAGCAAAGAGTCTTTTTCTCACAGTATTTCACAGTCAAAGAGCACCTTTGGATAATAAAAATCTCCTCCTCATTGCCAACTCTCTCATTTCAGCATTTGGATTTTTTCAGTTAAACTCATGGGATTAATTTCTCCTCTTGCCAGGATCACAGATTTTATCAGCAGAATATGATCTGAAATATCAGAATTTTAATTTTTTTAAAACTTTTTTTTAGTTTCTTTAGTAGAAGGGTGCACTGCTGATCAGTGCCAAGACAGAATTTGGGAAACCATGTAGTCAACTCTGCCTTCTAAAGGACCCTCTTGTACCATTGTCTTAGGCTAGAAATTCCAGATGATCTGTTGGCTTCTTTAAATTATTAGGTTGTTCCCAAGAGAATTTCCAGGATTTGCACCTGCAGCTTAAATGCTTTCTTCAAAGTCCCTTATGGTCCCATAAGAACTGAGTCATCCCACAGAGAGAATCTGCTGCAGTCCCTGCCTAGGAAAACAAAAGTCTCAGTACAGTTCAAGATTTTGGCTAATGTCCTTGAAACCATTCTCTGTGTCACCCTTATGAATGGAAGCTATCTTATGAATATTCATCCACACACCCACATTGCCTCAGGCACTGGATGCCACTGTGTAATTTGGGCAGAATAGAGATGTAATGGAAAAGGAGCATAGTGGAAATGAACAACATTCACTCTGGGAAAATCTGTTACAATTTAGGATGAAGGGAGAGAGGGAATGCTTCATATCTCTTACACTGGGTATGTGCAGCTGACTGGAAGGTATTTAATTGAGGTCAGGACTGTACAAAGCTGGTCTCACATATGGAGCCTTGAGGACCCTCAAAAATGGGAGGAAAGATCAGCTCGTCCAAGACAGTCCATCCCAGCAGAATCCTTCTAAAGACTTTTGTTCCACAGATGCTCTCTTCTAGAAGCAGAATTCTAGTTCCCTGTGTAAAAGTCTCCTCCTTACACATTTATTTTTCTAAGTATCTGTCTAGAAACTGACACCAGCTTATAATTTGGTGTTATATCTGAGTTCTGTGATAGATTTCCCATCAGTAAGCGCTGTTCTTGTTCTGCAGTTAAAGTTTTAATCCGTGGTGTCTGCACTGGAGTTCATTGCTTTATTAATTGTATAATGTCTATGCAGAGTGTACAGGGGGAGGCAGCAGAATTCTCAGCGATGTTGTGTGATGGAAAAAACAACCTAAGTCCAAAAATATGTTGCTGTTCCTTGGAAGGGCTGAGAGTCCTGTGGGAGCCCTCACTGTACCCACTTTTTTCCCCACAGCCTCAGGGTATAACTCTAGCTCTTCCTGTGCATCATGTCCATTAGTAACAGTAGGGCATGGGTTGCTTCTTTCTCCATCTCTTGCATCACTTTTTTTCCCAGGAATATTTCCACAGGGCCTTTTGCATCCTTCTTCTGTACGAGATGAGGCACTAAGGCACTTCACCAGCCAGTATATTGTGTGACTAATGCTCAAAGGGAGCTGGGAGCCTCAAGTAAAAGTGAGCAAAATTAGTATCCCAAGCCACTTAAGTCCAACATTCTGATATATTTATAGAACTAATGTGATAGCTGAATCATGAGTCAACAAGGACCATGAGCTGTTAAAGCACAGGCTTATGTGTCCCTACACATGCAGCAATTACACTTTTTGCTTGAGCTGTTCGTAAGGATATTGATTTACAGGAACCTTCAGAACAGAAAGTATGTTCTGGAGCCTGGGATAATTTTTACATGAATAGGGAACCAGAAAGGAGAACAGAAAGGAAAAAGCCCATTTGTTAAGGAAGCAACAAAAAATTCTTTTTCAGATCCAAACCTCTCATTTTGCAGCGGTGTTACACCATCAAAAAAAAAAGGGTTTCACATCTATATATGACTAAAATTCCACTTGATGTACTGTAGCTTCAAAAAGCTTCCAGTTGGTTTGACTTGTTCCCCACAAAAATGTGGTCTGTATCACAACCACGTGATTTCCAGATGCAGGTAAATAGGGAAGATCTTTTCTCTATTCAGATCATGGTTCATGTGAGGTGCACTGTGAGCTGCAGTCTTATTTGTAGATGTGTCATGTAGATGAGGGTTGCTAACAAAGCTGGAATTTACCTCTTAGGTTCACAGTGAAGATTACAGTTTGTCTAGATCCAGTGTAGATTTCCCTTTTTTGCATTTTCTGTGTCTTAATGAAGAAGCAAAGTGCTTGCTGAAAACTTACAGACAAAAGTATTTCTTTGAGAACAGACTGGGTCCAATTCAGCTATTTATCTATTAATTTTTTTTGGGTTTAGTTGGGTCAGATGGAAAATGATTATATTTTTAAAAGTTAATTTTAGCCTCCAAAGCTAAAAAAGAAACCAACAGAAAGACAAAGTCAAGCTTCCCATTACTTTTCGTATAACAGAGATCAATTGTTATACCTCAAGAGAGCTTATTAGAAAGAATTGCTCCTTCCCACTGATATTTTACATTCATGCCTGTGAACATTGATAAGTGCTTTCATGTACTCATCCAGTCTCACTGAAAGTACATCTTTAAAAAAAACTTAATTTAAACCAGTCTGTTCTCCAGACTTCGTGTTCTTTGCCCTGGTACCAGTTACTGTAATTAGTGCTCCTTCTGCAGTGCCTCCTGATCTCATCTGCATTTGGTACTTGCACTAGCCTTTGTAGTCTCATTATTTCAAATGCCACTTTTTCCTTTTTCCTTTCTTCCTTCTGTTTGTACATATCTTGGTGAAACATCCCTTAATGGGATCAGTATTAGAGGATCAAGGCTAATCTGTAGGCCTGTATAGAAATTGCACTTCACTTGTATACCCTGTATATGATTAAAGGCTTTGCTGTGTGCCTTGTTTTGTCCCTCAAGTATTAAGGAAGGTGTCTGTGCAGTCTTTTAAAAAGTACTTAAGGGTGGCATAATCTTTACTGTAGCCTATCAAACTCATGCTGTTTCCTGTCCATAGATGAATGCTTTGCTGCATGGCATTTGGGGTTTCCATCTGTGAATCAGTCTTGAATTTCTGTCTCAGTGAAAGTGATAGATAAAACAACCATTAAAAAAATCCCTTTTCTCTTCTTCCCATCAGTGCAGTGATATAATTCCTGTTACAGGAAGGAAGCATGTCTGATTAGCAGGAGAAGTGGGGTGTTTATTTTCTATCACAAAGACTAAATGTTATTCTCTTTATAGGAGGGTAGGAATTTGCTGTTTGTAAACCCTGGGTTACTGTCAAGTGGTCATTGGAGAAACATGTTACATGTACATACCGCATGTGGTGTGGGCACACATCCAGAAGGGAGTGAAAGAATTTGGATTCATTCTTTGCAGAAATGTGGGATTTACGTTGATTTCACTGGAAGTAGAAACGGTCCTTCAGCTGCCTCAGAGGACGTGCAGTACTTTGCTTACTCACTTGGGTAATATTTAACTCAAGAATAGCTACAGGCTCCCTGGAAGTGGGTACTTCTTAGTAAAGAAAGTGTAGTAACAATCATCCCAGTGATTGCATTCTCCATTGCTGGCATTCTTTCAGGTATTTTTTTCCTACATAACTCCTATGGAAAAAAACTGTAATGGTAGTGTAGGAATCTTTTCTCACTGCAGAATTTTCAAATCATGACAACAAATGCATTGTGAAAATATCTGGCATGGCTTTTGCAAATAAGCTGTTTCCTGCTAATTATGAGTTTGGTCTGCTGTAAAGGAATCATTACTGTTCTCTTTAGAAGTATTAGAAGTGGAAAAACTAAACCACAAAGGTCTTGGTGCAGAATAAAAAACATTCATTTGTGGAGTCAGTCCTGAATGGCTACCATGCTTCAGTGTCACAGCTTATCCTGAAGCAGCTCCTTCATGGAGCCAAAGAGAAAATGACATCTGTAAAATGTGTGTTTGCTTTAAATTTGCAGTAGGAGAGCCTTTATTGTATGTGTTTAGAAAGTTCTACAGACTGTTGGTAGAGCTTGCTACACCCATCTGGCTGCAGTCCAGTTAAGTCTACCCAGACCATTCCCCTGGAACACAGTGTGGGTACATCTCCAGGCAGGTGGAAAAGCTTTGTCCTTTAAGTGTCACATAATGAACTTATTGTCATGTTTTCATTATTCTAAATTACTAAAATATCAAAGCTCTTGAAATTCTAAGCAAGGGTTGTAAGTAGTCTCTCTTGGGATAAGCAGATTATTAATGTTTCTCTTCCCATTATAGACTGAATCTTGGTACTAATTTATTATCTGTCTCAGGTAAATAGTTGATAATAAGGAATAAGCAACAAGACACTGCTTCAATATGTGATGCAGTGCTATATAAGATACAATTGCTTCAGCTGGAGAAGTTATGCAAGAATTGATAAATAGGACTAGCTATTGAAAAAGTAGAATTAGCTGAAGGAAAATGGCAAAAGTTATTTTTAAAAAGCAAGCTATTAGGCTAAGAAATTGTTTATAAGTGGAGGTTCTCAAGGATTGATTACAGACCTCTCTCGTTTAGTATCTTTGGTAAACACTTTGGGTACAAAGGCACCATTACTACAGAAGAAGACTGAAATATCCTGCAAAAGAGACTGCGTGACCTTGCAGAAGGGAATAGAAATGCCATTATTCATAGAATCATAGAGTCGGGACAGCCTGTGTTGGAAGGAACCCTAAAAGATCACCTGTTCCAGCCTTCTGGGCACAAGGGAACCTAGATGAGATTATCTGGCATCCTGCCATGGTACCAACAACTTGAAGAACACGCTTGAAGAACAATTCACAAGAATTTCTGTCACAAGGCGGAGACTCTTGAGGTGGAAATGCTAATGGAAGGAAGGAGCAAAAGCATATTAGCAACTGATGCTGAGGCACCAATGCAGTGGAACAAAAAGGAGGAAAAATAGGCACTCTGTGGTGGGGTTATTTCTTTATTTGTGTATCTGTGTTCTTAAAGAGAGATAAATCAATGTAATTATGTGAGAGCCTGGCCAGATCTCATCTGAAATACTATATACATTTCTGCTCAACCATGATAAAGAAAGGTGAACCAAAACTTGTACAGATATAGAAAAGGTCTACTTGGGAGGGTTAGGGAAATGAAGAATCTTT